TCCCCTGCTCTTCCCTCCCAGGGTCCCCTGCTCTTCCCTCCCAGGGTCCCCTGCTCTTCCCTCCCAGGGTCCCCTGCTCTTCCCTCCCAGGGTCCTCTGCTCTACCTCCCACTTTTCTTTGCTTTCCCTTCTGAGGATTCCTGCTCTTCCCTCTCAGGAGACCCTGCTCTTCCCTCCCAGGGTGCCCTGTTCTCAACTCCCAGGATCTCCTGCTCTTCCCTCCCAGGGTCCTCTGCTCTACCTCCCCCTGAGTCCTCACTCTCACAGCCTTCCCTATTGTGTCCCCTACTTTGAGGCCATGGCCCTGTTCTTTGACCTCATCAACAGTTACAGCTCCGCTTCTGCCCCAGGTCTCTCAGCCCTGCCCTCCCTGGATTTTTGCTGCTCTGATACTGCCTTCTCCCCTGCCTCCACCTTTGCCCTCTGACCTGCGCTGCTCTGGTCACAGGTTTGCAGGTGGTGCTCAAGTCCATCATGAAGGCCATGGTTCCACTGCTGCAGATTGGGCTGCTACTCTTCTTTGCCATCCTCATGTTTGCCATCATTGGCCTCGAGTTCTACATGGGAAAATTCCACAAGGCCTGTTTCCCCAACAGCTCAGGTGAGGTCTCCTATCATCTCGGCTCAGTTGAGGACGACAGATTTATCCATCCAGGAGACAGGCACCACTGTAGGTGCTAGAGAGAACTGGTAGGTGCCAGATTACTGAGACAGAAGATTATAACCGGTAAACGAATAATAGACACACAAATAAAGTAATACAGATTGTAGCCACTTCTGGAAGGAAACAAAAAATGTATTTGAAATACAGTAATTTAGTGTCAGCTCATTAGAAGGTAGCCAGGGGAGGCAAAGGCTGAAACAGGATCCAATGGGAGGATATCTCAATCTTGGAGAGATGGCAGTGGCCAGGGCCAGGGTTTGGTAGAGGTAGTTGGAATGAGCCATATTCTGGGTACTTGTAGGTAAAGCTATAAGGTTTTCCTGTTGAGTGTAAGAGAAAGAGTTAAGGAAGACAGTAAATTTGAGTCTTGAGCGCTCAACACATTAAAGGAGAAAACCCATGTGATCATCTCTTAGATCCCAAAGAGCATTTACTATAAGTTAGTCATGATTTATTTTTTTATCATTTTTTCTGGTACTGGTATGAAACCCAAGGCCTTGTATATGCCAGGCATGCACTTTGCTGCTGAGCCACATCTCTAGCCCCTAAATTATTCATAACTTAAAAAAAATTTTCATCAAGCTATAAATGAAAGATACTTTTCTTAAATTCCCTAAAATTTCCTGCAAACATTGAATTTCATTGTGAGACCTTTTCCTTCAAAGTCAGGATCAAAGCAAGGGCGTAGCTGGTCTGCATGGCATTGGTGGTGTGACTAGTGCAGGAGACCAGAAGGAAGCGAGAGTGTCAAGTCAGACAGGAAGAAACCGTCCTAGTTTACAGAGAATGCAGTTGTGTACAGAGACAAATGAGGACTTCCTTATGAAATTTATCTAGATATTTGGAAAGGGAGAAATAAACTTGTGTGGCCAGTTTTGCCTTCTAACCCTGGGAGGACTTGCTTTCCATCCTTGCAGTTCCTCAAATTATCTCCTATGTTGATAGGAGGGATTTTCATATGTTGGTACACATTTTCATAAAATTTTCTTGTCTTGCCAGTGGAATTTTGGGAGTGAAGAGGCTAAACACTCTATATCATATTCGGTTAACTGTCTTGTCCCAGAGGTTAGCAGTTTTTTGTTTTTTTTTTTTTTGTACTGGGGATTGAACCCAGGGTCTCATGCATGCCAGGCAAGTATTCTACCACTGAGCTGTGTCCCAACCCTGATGTCTTCTTTACCACCTCTCTAGGTGGTCTTTTGCTGCCCACTACATTGCAGGAAAGTAGAGGGATCCCCACTCTGTAGGGGCCAGTGCAGTGTTGACTGGGCCAGGAGGCCTCCAGTTTCTCTCTGGGCATCTGTTGAACTAACTCTCAGTTATCCTGTGTGCAGGTCCAGGACTGCACAGTGTCTGAGTCTAGCTTTATACTAACCAACCGCCTTGCTGGCTCCAGAGTGACAATCAAATCTTCACGTTAGAAGACTTTTGTGGTTTGTCTATGAGGGAGAGGAGAAATCAGGGTGGTAGTGGTAGGAAGAATTGGAAGGTAGGAGTTTGTTGGTTTTTATTTTAAAATGAATGGGCTTCTGAGCTTGTTTAAATGATGGTGGACAGGTTCCCAGGGAGAGGGATATAGTGACCAGAAGTCCTAACAGGGTGGGCCCTGCCCTCGGGTGGAAGCAGGGGCAGGTGGGAGGAGAGTCCTGGTGTGGGTGCGAGGACTGGTTAGGCAGTTGGTGAAGAGTGTCTGGAGGTACCAGGTTCCTGCTGCCTACAGTGCACTCTCCAGCACCCAGGAATCCCAGAGGGGTTGGAGAACTTTGTGTTTCTGAGCTCAGGATCTGCTTCATTTTCCTCCTCACAGATGCAGATCCTGTGGGTGACTTCCCCTGTGGCAAGGAGGCCCCTGCCCGGCTGTGTGAGGGTGACACCGAGTGCCGGGAGTATTGGCCAGGACCCAACTTTGGTATCACCAACTTTGATAACATCCTGTTTGCCATCTTGACAGTGTTCCAGTGTATCACCATGGAGGGCTGGACTGACATCCTCTACAATGTGAGTTGCATCTTGGCCCTAGGCCTGAGGTGGGCTTGGGAGCTCCTGGGTTGGTCCCTCTTGAGGTCCCATTTGGGGGCACTTCTGATGGAGAGCCTCTGTACCACCCTGAGAGCCCCTTCCTCCACCCTGGAATAAGTTTCAGGGCCCTTTATCCAGATGGTGTATCAAAGGCTTCTGCAGTCAGTCTCAACTCAAGCTCTTGACCTAGGTCTTCCTCAAGTTGCTCTGTGAAGGTGGGGCTGTGGGCCGGGGTGGTGGGGCAGGGGTGGAGGTCAAAAGATACTGTTGCAGTCAAGATGCCGTTGATGGTGAAGGTGCAGCAGCACAGTAGTCAGTGCTCATGTGAATCTGTGCCACATTAGGCTTGGGAGGTGTCACATGCCTCCTGACTCCTTGTACAGGTGACAGGACTAGGTCATGGAGAGACTAATCTAATTCACCCACGCCAGGCCTGCAGGCAGCTGACTGGAAACCACTGTTCACACCACATCTGTGGGGTCTTCTGGGTGGAATTGAGGGCCAGTGAGCTCTAGGGCCTCTTATTGAGTCCAGGCTGGTGAAGATGAGGAGCAGGGGAAGGTTTGAGGTGGCACTGAGCTAAGGCCCAAGGAAACCTCCTTGGTCGTGTTGGGATTCTTGGAGTTGAGGCCTGGTGCTGTCTCTTCTTGGTTTTCTCAGTCTCATGAAGCCAGCCCTTCTCAGCAGTTCAGAGCAGTCTAGGTTTGGTGACCATAATGGAAGTCCAGGATGACCCATCTCACGTCCATCTCCCTCTACCTGTGATTCCTGGTGAACTCTGCTCTTGACTCCTGAGCAAATCTCTTTTATGTGAAGACCCCCTGCTACCTTGCATTCCTCCTGTTGAAGTGCTGTGAGGACAATCAAAGCAGTGCCCTGGGACTTTGGGAGGTGGAGAAGGAAGGTGCCTGTGAGCCAGGACTCTGGGAAGGTTTGGCTGGTAGACTCTTAGTTCGGGGTAGCAGAGGTTGTGTTCTGCTGAGTGCTGTTGGGAGTGGGGGTGGGGTGCTGCAACATAAGATGGCAGAGTCTGTGTATTGTGAGGGTGGGCCTGAACCACATGCGCCTGGGGCCCTGTGCCTCTTTCTGAAGCTTCTCACAGCAGTGTCCGTGATTGCTTGTAGATAGGAGGAAAGGAAGAGAGTGGGACCRTCTGCTCTGCCTACCCCACAAGTTTGTGGGTGCCCCAGGATGACCTTAGGCTGATGTTAGGCAGGTTCTTGGTAAGTGCTTGCTGGGCTGATCTGTCAAGCTTGTTGAGCAGGAAGATGGCAGATGAGTTAAGGAAGAGCTGGCCCAGGGCCCCCTGAACCAGATTCTTTGTTGAGCAAAGGTCTGTCTGATGACAGGCTCTGTGTGGCTGAGGGAATGAGAACAGGGACAAAGGCAGCAATGAGAACCATGGCTGTTCTCTCCCTTTTACCAATTAAGGGGCAATTTCCACAAGGCAGATCCTAACAATAGCTCTGAACTGTCCACATTTCTCTCCCACCCAAAAGGAGGACTATAACCAGGGCTCCAATCCCTCAGTGTCCTTAGGGGCTTCACCAGCAGCCACGTGTGACTCAGGCTTCCTGTCTGTGTTTGTGCCTCCCTTAGGGGATAGACAGGAACCAGACCTGGGCAGGAGGCACTGGCCAGGAAGGGACACAGAGGTTTCATCCAACCCATATTTGATAGGGCCCACGGGCACTGGGCACTGCATGTACCTTGGCAAGTAGGAGGCGCTAGATGTGTGAGGGTTTAGATAGTGGCAGTGCTCTGAGGGAACAAAGGAGAGTGAGCAGTGGAGATTGACGGGTCAAGGGCCGGGAAAGCAGGGCCTGGTGAGGGCTGGAAGTCAGATGCTGGTGCTGTAGGATGTGCTTTGCAAGTTTAGATGAGGCACAAGGGTGCAGTGGTGGCAGTGAATGGTGAGGCTGCCACTGTGCAGGACCAGAACAGGTGGCAGGACCTGGCTGGGCCCTCTCTTCCACACTGCCAACAGTGTTCTCATCAGCTGTTGGAGATTGGACAGGGTTTTGGACTTGTCATTCATCTCCAAACCAGGGAGAGGGGCTTTGTGGTCTCTTGAGACTTATACTTCTGGCATGGCCTGCAGCAGGGGTGGGGGAGAGGTGGAGCTGGTGAGGATGAGTGTCTCTCATACTGGCTCTAGTCGGGGAGAGTGGGCAGCCAGGACAGAGCAATGGGTCTCAACAGCATCTGTTCAGAGTGGGCTGCTGAGAAACTGGTGGCGGAGGGTAAGGGTTGTCCCTCTGAGGAGAGACTGTTTGCCTGTGGAGCCAAACAGGGCCTTAGAAGAACCTGCAGAAGTGCTGTGTGGGAGAGTCAGAGGGATGAGGTTATCTCAGGACAGCTCCACACAGGGAGAGCTGGCCTCTCCCTGCCCCCTCCCTGCCCTGTTTTGGCAGCTTAGGGTCAGTACCCTCAAGCCTGCAGAGGAAGGAGAAACAATGCTGGGCATAGGGAACGTGATGGCCATGCCTTCCTTTCTAAGGAGAGGGCCCAGCTGTGGCAGGCAGCTTAGGAAAGCAGCTGTTGGCCTGTAGTGTGTCAGACAGTTTGATTACCATCCAGCCGGGACGCTTTTGATTGCTGAATCAAGACTCTTTTCAGCTTGAAGTGACTGTAGAACTTTCTATCACCTACGAGTTTGAAAAGTCATGGGACTTACCTAAATTTTCAACACTGGCATGGGAAGGGTTACCTGCTAGGTTCAGAGGCATGACAAGAGGTAAACAGTGTCCGCTAATGATTCTGTGCATGTGAGTTAGTGTGTTATTGTACTAGTAATAAGCATGTATGAGGGAAGAAGTGTTCAGCTACTTGGCTGTGGAGGCTATATTGATGTTAAACCAATTAGTGCTTCTCATGCATCAGATGCACTATGTGAGAGGAAGAGAAGGGTCCCTGATGATGTGGCTGGAGCTCCTGGGGAAGGAGGTGTCCTTCACTCAGAAGAGAGAATTGGGAGCAAGGTGTTCCCTGGCTTTGTTTCAGTGGAGGGTGGTAGGAACTGGAGCCTTCTACCATGTAAAGTTTCCAGTAGCTTCTTCATCTAAGTTGAGGTGATGGGCATGTGAGAGGGTGCTCAGGGGGACTGCAGGTCAAGGGTGTACATGTAAAGTCAGTGACATGAAGATGGTGGTTAAAGTCACCTGAGAAGTGAGTGTAGATGGATAAGAAGAGAAGCCTGAACACTGCTCCTGGGGAGTTCCTGCACTGGGAGGCCAGGGGGAAGGAGGGAGTCAGCAAGAGGCTGGTGTTTCCTCTTGGGCAGGCACGATATGGGAGAGAACTGTGTCTTGGAGAGAGGTTAAAGAGCTCTGAGAAGGTGACTGCTGGGTCAGATGCTGTCCAAAAGTCAAGGAAGATAGAAGAGGAATGCTGACCATTGCACCGGCTGGCACGATGAGGTCCTGGGTAGACTTGACAAGAGCAATCTTGGCGGTGGGGATGAGAACCTGGACCCTGGGATAAAGTGAAGGGAGGTAAGGAAGTGAGGATGCAGTGTAGACCCTCCTTTCTGGGGGCAGAGCAATGGGAGGCAACTGCAGGGAGATACAGGATGGAGAGAACCGGGTTTTCTTCACTCTTTTGCACATGGATATCCACTTTTTCCATTTGCGATTCTAGGGATTGAACCCAGAGCCATTCCACCACTGAGTTACAGTCCCAGTCCTTGTTATTTAAGATAAGGCCTCTCTAAGTTGCCTAGGCCAGGCTGGCCTCCTGCCTCAGCCCCCAAAGAATTGGGCTTACCAGCATCCTCCACTGTGCCTCTCTGGGAACTGGATTTTTAAAATTAAATTTTGAATTTTGAGACAACTGTAGATTCACGTGAAGTTGTCAGACCTTACAGATGCATCCCATGTGCCTTTTCCCTGCTTTCTCTCAGTGGTAACAACTGGCAGAACTTATTCGACATCATAACCAGGCAATGAGATGCAGCATTCACCCTACTCAGCTCTGACAGCCTCTGTCTTGTTTGCCCTATCTGCAGTTCTGCCATTTTAAGAGTCACGTAGATAAAACCACACCGTACGTTGCTTTCTTGGTATTGGCTGTTGTCACTCAAGTAGATTCCCTGGAGGTTACGCAGGTTGTCCTGTTGGTTTTTCCAGAACTGTTTGGTATGGATGTACTGCAGTCTGCTTACTGTTCCCCTATTGAAGGACAAGGGGTGTTTCCATCTAGGGTTATTATGGACACCATTGCTACACATTTGCATACAGGTTTTTCTACACACAGGTTTCCATTTCTTTGGAACAAATGCACAAGAACTTTCTGTGTTGCATAGTAGTTGCATATTTAGGTAAGAAACTAAACCTTCAGGGCTGGGGAATTGGAGCTCAGCAGGAGACCAGACTGCCCAGGATGTGTAAGGCCCTGTGTTTGAGCCCTAGCACTGCAAAAAACAAACAAAAAGAAACTCAAACTCTCCTGAGGACTGTGCCCTTTCACATCCCTTCAGTCGTGTGCGAACAGTCTGGTCTTCTTGCGTCCCTGCCAGAGCTGCTGTGGCACTGTTTTGTTGCCATGGCTCTGACAGGTGTGTCATTGTGGCTGTCATCTGTATTTCTTGATGGTTAGTGATGTTGAACATCTTTTCCTGCTTGTCTGCCACTTGCCCTTTTTTTGGTGAAATGACTCTCTATGTCTTGTGCGTATGCTGTTTGAAGTCCTCTTTCAGTGGAGTCTTTAGGGTCCCTTGTGTATTCTAGGTGCCAGTGCCTTGTTAGATATATAGTCTGCAGATATTTTCTCCTTATAGGTAGCTTGTCTTTTCTTGCTCTTTCACACAACAGACATTTTGGTTTTGATCAAGTCCAGTTTATCACTTTTTCCTTTTGTGGATTGGACTTTTGTGTCTGGTAAGATTTTCTACAGTTTTGTTTCCCCTGAAATATTGTTTTGTTTTCCATGTATATCTATGGTCCATTTTGAGTTGGATTTTGTACAAAGGGGAAGATTTA